CTGTTAAATCCAAGCCAAAAAACTAAGCCAAAAAACCATGATCCTTAAATTCACATTCTTTGTGAAGACAATGCTGAACTAGGATCCTGATGGGTGAACACTCTAAAGTGTGTGTGACTTTTTTCATTTGTGAGTCATATTTTCACCAGGGCTTCTGATTTCTTCGTGGTCACAGAACATCCATTAAAGATGAAAAAAAAAAAAAAGAGCCTGGAGCCACAGATTGCATTAAAGTCTCTTTTCTTAAGCCAGAGACCAACAGATAACATGAAGTGCAAACATGCAAATCAGGGCCCTTTAAGGAATTGATTGTATTAAGTCTCTTTCCTTTGGGGGGGGGAGGCAGTTGATTTAGTTAAAAAAAAAATCAGAGGGACCAAATAGTTAACATATTTTTAGCCTTGGCTTCTCCTGTTTGATTAAATGGAAGGGCAGATCGAGTAATTGAATTCAGAGGACTTTATTGTTTGAAAGAGTAAGGCTGGAGGAATAGATCATAAGGAAGGATTTGGCCACTTCCTGGCCTCACTTTGTGACTAAACCTGAGCATTTACAGGTTTCCCATTTGGAAACAAATCTTCCTGTAAACTTTGGAACAATGCATTGGTGTTTACACAGAGATGGGATTACCATTCTTTTGCATCCCACCTTCTGTCTTCCTCCCTTGCCTTTTGGAGTCAGGGTTCCAAATAACATCCCCCACTCCCAGTTTCCCACAGCTCTAAATGTGACAGCCCTGAAGTAAAAGATGGCCTCTAGGGCTGACATTTGGCTAGCAATCTGAGAACCTCTTTCCAACTGCCCAGGTCCATTTTCTTGGTGGACATCACCAATGGGCACTTTCTCGGAAAGGAATTCAAGCTTGAATGTGTGGTAGACAAGAAGATCCACCATATACCTTACTCCCCTTCTGACCACTTCTGGCCCATGCAGTGTGGTATTACAATAACAATTTGTGTGCCACCATCTTAGTTCTTTTTAGTTTTTGCCTGCAGTTCGGCAGTTCAAATTTCACCAGGCTCAAGGTTGACTCAGACTTCTATCTTTCCGAGGTGGGTAAAATGAGGACTCAGATTGTTGGGGGCAAATAGACTGACTCTGTAAATCGCTTAGAGAGAAGCTGTAAAGCACTATGAAGAATAGAATAGAATAGAATAGAATAGAATAGAATAGAATAGAATAGAATAGAATAGAATAGAATAGAATAGAATAGAATAGAATAGAATTCTTTATTGGCCAAATGTGATTGGACACACAAGGAATTTGTCTTTGGTGCATATGCTCTTGGTCTACATCAAAAGACAAGATACATTCGTCAAGAATCATAAAGTAGAACACTTAATGATAGTCATAGGGTACAAATAAGCAATCTAATCATACTAGGAAACAATATAAATTGTAAGGACACAGCAACAAATTACAATCATACAGTCATAAATTGGAGGAGATGGGTGATGGGAACGATGAGAATATTAATAATAGTGCAGACTTAGTGAATAGTTTGACAGTGTTGAGGGAATTATTTGTTTAGCAGAGTGATGGCGTTTGGGAAAAAACTGTTCTTGTGTCTAGTTGTTCTAGACTAAGTTGTCCGTGTGTTGAGATTGGCTGGTGCTTAAAGGTAAAAGGTAAAGGTTCCCCTCGCACATATGTGCTAGTTGTTCCCAACTCTAGGGGGCGGTGCTCATCTCCTTTTCAAAGCTGAAGAGCCAGCGCTGTCCGAAGACGTCTCCGTGGTCATGTGGCCGGCATGACTCAACGCCAAAGGCGCACGGAACGCTGTTCCCTTCCCACCAAAGGGGGTCCCTATTTTTCTACTTGCACTTTTTTACGTGCTTTCGAACTGCTAGGTTGGCAGAAGCTGGGACAAGTAACAGGAGCTCACCCCGTTACGCGGCACTAGGGATTCAAACTGCTGAACTGCCGACCATTTGATCGACAAGCTCAGCATCTTAGCCACTGAGCCACCACGTCCCTTACAGACCCGCAAAAGAGGGAAGTCATCTTTGATTGCTCCACTAAAGTACCATTTTTTTAGGCCACAATAATTCTGGTTAACCAAGGAACAAAACACTCTTGCAGGAGATTGCCCAGGTCCTCGGGGTACAATCTCACATTCTTCTTTGTCACCTAACTGACTTGTTTTGAATGCTTTTGGGGGTTGTGCCATTTGCTGCAAGCAATCCCTTTGCTGCTGCCCACCTCCTCCTCCTCCTCCTCCTCCTGTTTGGAGAGATAATTGGTCTGTTTGAATTGTAAGCAAGCTTTCATAAATACCTCCGGGTTATCCACTCACTTCTGCGGTGGTAGGGCTATACCTGATTAAATTAATTCAGAACAGTATTCACTTTTAGGTTAGAATAGAGTTCTGTATTGGCCAAGTGTGATTGGATACACAAGGAATTTGTCTTTGGTGCATATGCTCTCAGTGTACATAAAAGAAAAGATACGTTCATCAAGAATCATAAAATACAACACTTAATGATAGTCATAGGGAACAAATAAGCAATTAAATCATACTAGGAAACAATCAATCTAAATCGTAAGAATATAAGCAACAAAATTACAGTCATACAGTTATAAGTGGGAAGAGATGGGTGATAGGAACAATGAGAAGATTAATAGTAGTGCAGTCTTAGTAAATAGTTTGACGGTGTTGAGGGTATTATTTGTTTAGCAGAGTGATGGCGTTCGGGAGTAAACTGCTCTTGTGTCTAGTTGTTCTGGTGTGCAGTGCTCTGTACCATCGTTTTGAAGCTAGGAGTTGAAACAGTTTATGTCCAGGATGCGAGGGGTCTGTAAATATTTTCACAGCCCTCTTTTTGACTTGTGCAGTATACAGGTCCTCAATAGAAGGCAGATTGGTAGCCATTGTTTTTTCTGCAGTTCTAATTATCCTCTGAAATCTGTGTCTGTCTTATTGGGTTGCAGAGCCAAACCAGACAGTTATCTCACGTGCATCAGCTCTATGCCCTGCCATATATATTTTTTTAAAAAAACTTACAAGGACCAAAAAGGAAGATAAAAAAAGAAAAAGGGGTGTCCAAAACTTCTGGAGAACGTCAGGTTTGTAGTCCTGATTTGCAGCGTTTCGTGTCCTTATATGGGAAACCCTGCAAAATCCAGAGCAAAGTCCAGCCAAAGCAAGGTAGGAGTCTGATGTTTTGTAAAGTAGAAATAAGAATATGAATATATTTGAAATATTAGCATTTTTTCTCTGGGCTCCTTCCACCAGCTGGAGAAGACAGCAACCGTTGAAATTTAGCTCTCCTGTCTCCAATTGTCTGTTTGTTTTAGGACATGCGATTTTATCTCCCACATCTCCAGCAGGCAACAGGATTTCCACCTCAAGCCCACATCAAAGATTCCCCAAACCACCTTATTAAAGGAATATCGGGTTTCACAGGTTGTGGTGAGGGAGGGCTTGTAGAGCCCGTGCCTTTGAAGAAACAGCTGTATGCAGCATCTGGCCCAAGGTGGCAAAACCTTTGGCTGAAATAGACAACCTGTAGATTGGGGCTCCTTCCCATGGTGCCCACGGAACTCTCTGCTTCATTCGCCTGAGGGCAGGACAAAAAGCAAAGGATGGAAATTAATCAAGGAGAGAAGCAACTTAGAACTAAGGAGAAATTTCCTGACGGTTAGAGCAATTAATCAGTGGAACAACTTGCCTGCAGAAGTTGTGAATACTCCAACACTGGAAGATTTTAAGATTGGATAACCATTTGTCTGAAGTGGTGTAGGGTTTCCTGCCTAAACAGGGGGTTGGACTAGAAGACCTCCAAGGTCCCTCCCAACTCTGTTATTCTATTCTATTCTATTCTATTCTATTCTATTCTATTCTATTCTATTCTATTCTATTCTATTCTATTCTATTCTATTCTTTCTTATTTCTATTCCATTCTACTTCTTATTTCTATTCTAATTCTAATTCTAATTCTAATTCTAATTCTAATTCCAATTCTTATTTCTATTCTATTCTATTCTATTCTATTCTATTTATTCTATTCTATTCTATTCTATTCTATTCTATTCTATTCTATTCTATTCTAGTCCAGTCCAGTCCAGTCCAGTCCATTCCGCTTCATTTAGAAAGGCTTCTTTTAATAATAGTTTTCAAAAAGATAGGGAGTTGGTCATAAAATCGAATCCAATCATGTGATTGGACCTTTATGACTGCCATGTCCTAAAGGTTATTTATGACTTATAACCATCATTGTGAGGCTCAATTATGGTCGTAACTTGAGGAGTATCTGTACACATTTTCGTAATCCGATGCTGAGGCAGCCTCCCATCTTCTCCCTGAAAATGTGTCTCTTAAAGGAAACCAGCTTGGCAGCCTATCATCAGATGTGTATTTTTTGTAAGATGAGCCTGGTGGTTTTTTTAAAAAAAAATATTGTTTGTTTGTTAAATTTCTTGACCATCTATCTTACCACAAGGCAGGGGTGGGCTTCAAAAATTTTAGCAAGGGTTCTCTGCCCGGTTGCTGGGTGGGCGTGGCCATGGTGGGCATGGCCTAGTTGGCCTCCTGCACCACGGTGGGGGGGGGGCATTTTTGCCCTCCCCAGGCTCTGGAGGCTTTTCTCAAGCCTCCGGGGGGGCAAAAACAGCCTCCAGAGGCTCCAGAGGCCCTCTGGAGGCCAGAAACAGGCCTTTTTCCGGCCTTCCCGAACTTCTGGTAGGCCCGTTTTTCACCCTCCTCGAGCCTCCGTGTGCGCCCTGCACTTACCTTCATCCAAAATGGGCCGTGTGGCGACTCCTGGCAGGGGCAGGGTGGGCGGGGCCAGCCAGGAGTGGGATTTGGGGAGTCTCCGAACTGCACAGAATCTTAGCTAGAGGTTCTCCCGAACCCCTGCGAACCCCCAACAACCCACTCCTGCTACAAGGTAATTCTGGGAGGTTTCCAATATTAAAAAGATAACATTTTACAAAACCTATACACAATAGGAGCTAAATAATAATACAAAAGATAAATACACAACCCTAGCTAAAAGATGGGAAGGGAGGGAGACCCTCAAAAAAATTAGTTATAAACATATACATGTCTCTCTCCACGGAAATCTTTAGTAAAAGGTGAAAAGTTTATATGAGCTGAAGAGAAATCAGAGAATATAATGCTGAAACAGTAAAGAGCATTCAAATGTAAGAACAGAAATAGCCTTTGATTGGATAGAGCTGAGACCTAGCTGGAGAACTGATATATTCAACAGCCCCACAGTTTCAAAGGAATCTGTATAACAAAGGCAACATATTTGAGCACTGTTGGTCTAATCATGGCCGGTTTTTGTGTCCTTTCTTGCTTTCTTCTGCAGCCTTAAAGAGGTCCTTTGAGATGGAAGATGTGGAAGAAGCTCCTTCATGCTCAACCAGATCTTCTGTAAATCCCTGCCCCTCTGAAAATGGAGAGGGAAAAAGAACCAGAGGGCCCGTGCAGAGCACTTACCCATCTCCCATCGGCCTGAGCAACATCTCCAGTCCTTTGCACAGTCCGATCCCCAAAACCAGGGTCACGAACAGCCTGTCTTTCAACCGAGGTACCGTTCATTTGCCTCGGGCTAATGGAACCAACCTCATGAGGGTGTCCTCCTTCCAAACTCGGCTGAATCCCAATGGATTCTCGTCATCTTTAGGCCCAGGAAGCGATGAGAGCCTTCACAGTTCTTCTTCCAGCTTGGAGTGCCCAACACCCACAAGATGCCCTCCGAATCCCTCTCGGCAAGCCGAGCCCTCTGGAATTGAGATCTCTCAGCTGTCTAGCCCTTTGCTGAAGAAGTTCTCATCTCATGGGAATGTATTCCATGCCGAGGTGGACCGTCCCATCCGGCAGGTCTCCAAGGCTACCGTGAATCACAGCTCCTTGCCGTCCCTTGACTTGCATATCGCAGAAGACCAGGGGCCCAGTCCTATCCTTTGCTCCACCTTGAACATGGACCCCACCAACAGGTGGACCTCCCAAGACCAAAATTCCATCTCGCCACTTCCAGAAAATAGAACATTATTGCGAAAGGATTCCCCTTTCTCTGCCATGGGGGTAGGCCAGTTGGCCAACGTGACTTCTATGGCTTCTTTGGCCTCCAAGCAAACCACAAAGCTTCCAACATTTCCCACCAGCCTGGACAAGTTCATCGGAAACTCACCAATTGGTTATGTTCTCCCTTCGGTGGGTGATCCTGGGCTCAAATCTTTGCCTAAGGCCCAGCTTCAGATCAACCTTGGCCACAGCCTGTCTCATCCATCTCCAGAACTGACCAACAAAGATCAAGTGATCATAACCCATGACACTTCCCTAACAATGTGTTATGGAAACCCACCAGAGATATCAGAAACAGAGAGAACAGGTCCTCATCCTCAGTCTGACTCTTTCCAGCTTGTCTCTCCATCTCCAACTGGTCACCCTACTTCCCAGTCCTCTTTTCTTGGGTCTCCAATGACAGTGCCAACTCCCCAAGGGAGCCCAGCTTTGCCCAACCGAAGAGAAAACTGTCCCGCTCTGATTGGTTCCATCTCCTGTCAAGATGCTTCCAAGGCTTCGAATCCAGAACTGTCTTTTGGCCCAGGGGAAGAGTCCGGAGACCAGCCTCTGGAGATCTTTGAGAAGAAGGAAGAGTCTGCAGAGAGGAATTTACTAAAAGAAGGTTAGTCAAGTTGTGCCTTAGATGCCCTCTGAAATAACATAACGGCCTGTTCAAGCCACCTTTTTACAAACTTAGAATGGTGAGGCTACACAACTCATTAAGCTAGTCTCAATGTTTTGTTTTATCATCTTTTCCAGCCATGTATGTATTTTTGTCCAATATTTTTTGCTTCTACACATGTCCACCACATATGATAATCATAAGACCCAGGTATCTGGTGGCACTTCCAACATTTAGCTGACTTATCTTTAAACATCTTTGCCAACCTCACCATCTATAAAATGCCATTTATAAAACATCTTATACAAATTTTCTTTATATGCAGTCGACGTTGTTAATTTGTAATTCCTGTCCCACAGTTTCTGCCATTTGTCTAATTCTATTGTAGGACCAAATTTTTTTGCCCGTGCTATCATTGTCTCCTTCACTTGTTCGTCTTCCAGTTTTATGCCCAATAAGTAGCTGTACAATTTCTTTATCAATCTTTCTTCTGTTTCTGTTAATATCATATCTAATACTGTTAATTCTTTATAAAATCCATATAATTTAGCATCGTTCTCATATCTAGAGTGTATCTGCACTTGTGAATAGAATAGAATAGAATAGAATAGAATAGAATAGAATAGAATAGAAATAGAATAGAATAGAATAGAATAGAATAGAATAGAATTCTTTATTGGCCAAGTGTGATTGGACGCACAAGAATTTGTCTTTGGTGCAGATGCTCTCGGTGTACATAAAAGAAAAGATATGTTCATCAAGAATCATAAGGTACAACACTTAATGATAGTCATAGGGTACAAATAAGCAATCAGGAAACAATATCAATATAAATCATAAGGATACAAGCAACAAAATTACAGTCATACAGTCATAAGTGGAAGGAGATGGGTGATGGAACGGTTAGAAGATTAATAGTAATGCAGACTTAGTAACTAGTTTGACAGTGTTGAGAGAATTAGTTGTTAAGCAGAGTGATGGCGCTCGGGAAAAAACTGTCCTTGTGTCTAGTTGTTCTGGTGTGCAGTGCCCTGTAGCATCGTTTTGAGGGTAGGAGTTGAAACAGTTTATGTCCAGGATGTGAGGGGTCTGTAGATATTTTCCCAGCCCTCTTTTTGACTCGTGCAACATACAGGTCCTCAATGGAAGGCAGGTTGGTAGTCATTGTTTTTTCTGCAGTTCTAATTATCCTCTGAAGTCTGTGTCTGTCTTGTTCAGTTGCAGAGCCAAACCATACCATGGTTTGGTATATATACCGATTTGGTGTATAATATTACCATGCCATATCGATCCCTTGATCACTCAGTTCTTGTTTAGTTTTGGGTTCCCCCTTTTCATTCAAAATATCTTTATATCTAACAATATTTCCCAGGTTAATAACATTTGGGTGAATCCGTGCTTCCATCGTTGAAAGCCAAACTGGTATCCCCAGATAAAGTTGCTCTTTAATTTTCTCCCATACTAACATTAATGCATTTCTTATATAATGTCTTTGAAAGTAACCATGTATCTTATTCTTCCCATATCACAAGAAAGCATGCCAACCAGGGGTGAAATCCAGCAGGTTCTGACAGGTTCTGGAGAACCAGTAGCAGAAATTTTGAGTAGTTTGGAGAAACGGCAAATGCCACCTCTGGCTGGCCCCAGAGTGGGGTGGGAATGGGGATTTTGCAGTATCCTTCCCCACCAAGCCACGTTCACCAAGCCACGCCCACAGAACCGTTAGTAAAAAAATTTGGATTTCACCACTGATAGCAACCCAATTGCAAGTCATGTCCTTCCAACGTCAATAATCATTAAACTAATCTCGATCAAACTCCAGGATGGTCAGTCCAAACCTCGTATGACATACAACTCACAAAACATAATGAAGGCGAATGTACATGTCCCAGGATAATATTGTAGGATCCTATCTGGGTTGGTCACCGAGACCATAGTTTTGTCTTCTGAGTTTTCAGACCTGCGCTGGAGCCCATCTTCAGGGAAGTCTCTCTAATAGTGTGTGTCCTGTGCTCTGTGTGGTATTTATATGGTGCCTGTTATATGTGGCTTTTTAGATGTTGATTGGGGTGTGTTGATGGTTGACTATTAAGTCGTCGGCTGCCGTTTGGGCAGCACAAGCAAACGGCAAAACCTCTGGTCCTGGTGATCGACCCATATTGGATCTCCCAAAACATGGCTTAACAGAATGGCTGCACTCATCTAACCTGCTATCATCAAAGAAACGTACATCAGATGGATTAAGAGTTAGGTTTCCCACAACCACACAACCACATGTTGCCCTAAATTAGCATGTTTTACGAATCCAACCAGGTACAGAAGATCAGCCATCCTCTAAATTGCTTCTCCTCTTGTGTTTCCTTATGTGTCTAATCACAGTTGGCCAAATAGAGTATATTCTTCTCTTCTCTTCTCTTCTCTTCTCTTCTCTTCTCTTCTCTTCTCTCTCTCTTCTCTTCTCTTCACTTCACTTCACTTCACTTCACTTCACTTCACTTCGCTTCTCTCTTCTCCTCTCCTCTTTTCTTTTCCCTACCCTACCCTATCCTACTCTACACCATTCCATTCCATTCCTATTTTATTCCATTCTATTCTATTCCATTCCATAGTTTCTATTCTATTCTATTCTATCTATTCTATTCTATTCTATTCTATTCTATTCTATTCTATTCTATTCCATTCCATTCCATTCCATTCCATTCCATTCCATTCCATTCTTTCCTAATTCTCTTCTCTTCTCTTCCCTTCCCTTCCCTTCCCTTCCCTTCCCTTCCCTTCCCTTCCCTTCTCTTCTCTTCTCTTCTCTTCTCTTCTCTTCTCTTCTCTTCTCTTCTCTTCTCTTCTCTTCCCTTCCCTTCCCTTCCCTTCCCTTCCCTTCCCTTCCCTTCCATTCCATTCCATTCCATTCCATTCCATTCTCCCTCTGTAGAGGACATATGATCTATGGACCATGTCTCAGCCAGGGGACCATCTCAACACACCCTTGGGACACCATTCTTTTTTGGAGGGTTTGGCCACAGCCCCTTCGATGCGGCAGTTCTTCTTGCTGGTGTCTGGAAACCAGAGGAAGTTTACTCCCCAGAGCTTCCTCATTTTTGTGGCACCAAGAAGACAAAGCTCTTCTCTGTTTCAGTTTTCTCTGCCATCCAGTTGGTCAAGCCGCTCATCCCCTCTGGCTCTGGAATGCACTGGGCCCCTTTCCGATGAAACGCTCAAAAGCATCCGAGAAAAACCCAAAGAGCATTTATGAGAATCATCAGAAGGCAAGGTCTAATGATGATGTTTGTCCTCCACCCTCCATTTCCCCGCTCCCCTCAGCAAGCTAGAATACCCTGATACACTGCCTTGAAACATGGAGTCTCTGTTGCACAATCGTGCAACTTTTTCAAATCCAGGATTGTAGCATCTCCGCCATCTTTGACACTCTGTGCCGATCATTTACTAAACTCCTCTTCTTCATTGCTGAAAGCGAGTTTGGTGTTATGGTTAAAAGAGGGGTGGGCAATTAATTTTCCCAAGGGGGCCACATGAGAAACTGGGATTGTTGTGGAGGGATGAACCAATAGGGCTGTGAAGGTGTGTAGACACACACACACGTATGCACCAGGGCTTCTGACAGGTTCTGGAGAACCAGTAGCGGAATTTTTGAGCAGTTTGGGGAACCGGCAAATACCACCTCTGGCTGGCCCCAGAGTGGAGTGGGAATGGAGATTTTGGAGTATCCTCCTCCTGGAGTGGAGTGCGAATGGAGATTTTGCAATATTCTTTCCCTGCCACACCCACCAAGCCACGCACACAGAACCGGTAGGGAAAAATTTTGGATTTCACCCCTACCCAAATCACACTCCTGGCTGGCACCGCCCATCCTGCCCCTCCCCTCCCAGGAGTCCCCACGTGGCCCATTTTGGATGCAGGTAAATGCAGGGTGCACGCGGAGGCTCAGGGAGAGCGAAAAATGGGCCTACCGGAAGTTTGGGAAGGCCAGAAACGGGCCCATTTCTGGCCTCCAAGAGGGCCTCCAGAGCCTGGGGAGGCCATTTGCGCCCTCCTGGAGGCCCTCTTCAAGGGCAAAAACACCCCTCACCACCACTATGGTGCAGGAGCCCAACAAGGCCACACCCACCATGCCCACACCCACCCAGCAACTGGGCAGAGAACCCCTTGCTAAAATTTTTGAAGCCCACCCCGACATAGGACCCTAAGGAGACTTTAACTCCTTTTCCAAATTGTTCATTCATCTGGATTATTTGGGTCAGCCCCATTAGACAGATCAAACCGGGAAAACAATTCCACCGGGAAGCTAAAACTACTTTTACTGAGATAATAGAATCTCTCACAAGTCCGATTGTGCTCTACCTCCCTCCTTATACCCCAGTGAATTGGGAAAGCGATGTCATGGGAAGAAGGAATAACCTTGAGGAACAGAAGGAAGAGCCACAGCCAAAACAACAGTCAGATAAGAGAAATTTGAGTCTGGGCCAGAAGTGTAATTTGAGAAAGCCATCTCAGACAGGACCCTCCTTAGTTTTTTTTTTTTGTGTCAATAAAAGGAGAGACGGAGAAGCATTCTGCCTGGCTAGGTCCTGTTTCTGTAGGCTTCTCTTAAAAATAGGATGCGTGACTTTGGTTTCCTGGTCCGTTCTATCTTCAAGAGCTGACAGGTATCAAGCTATTTCTGAATTTTATCTCATTTCTCTAGACTTAAAAAATATTTCAGCCCTAGAGAACATTTCTTGCATATCTTTATCAAGGTCACCTTCCATCTTCTCTACGATGGGTGATCCAGCGTATTCCTCTGTCAGGGAGGTAAGAGGTTTCTAAATTGGGAGAGGGGGATAGGGATGGATGGATGGATACATAGATAGATATGGATGGGTAGACGGATGGATGGAAAGAAGGATGGATATGGAGGAATATGGATAGATGCATAGATAGATATGGAGGGAGGGAGGGAAGGAGAAAAAGCAGCAGAAAGAGGTAGAGGACAGACGAATAGATAT